TATCCAGAATCTGCCATTTTTAGTAATAAGGCAGCCCACTTGTATCAAGATGCAGACCTGGTACTGCCTGTATAGTTTATAGAAAATTCCCGTTTAAAGATTTACATAGAAAATAAGATATTTCTGTACCTTTCAAATTTTCCTTGATAATTTCTTAAAGCCACTCATTTCATAAAGCCATCCACTAAATTTTAGTCCCTGCCCAGAAGAAAATAATGGAAAATATGAACCTTTGCTCTGCATAATACATTCATTTCTGTCTAATATGTTTCTTCTTATTTTCTGGATATGGTCATTGAGTAGACTTAACACTGCTGAATCTCACTGACACATTTAAGTTGTATCTGATTATTAGTTATAAAAGATATATAGTACAGTCAATATAGTACATTTATTCCTAGTATTGATATTAGGAATATTGTAAAATACTGATATTTTACAGTCTATCTGCCATTTATATAGAAACACATTTAATATTGATTTTCATTCAGTGTAACTCCAGCAATATGTTTAATCACAGTAGTTGGTAATACAAAAAGAATATTTGTATTTTAGAATATGAAGTTAGTTGAATCCAGTTTGTGAAAGATAACAATGAAATAAGTACCTTTCTAAACATAGTATACCCTTCAGAAGAGTTGTAATAATTTATCAGAAACTTCATTAACCATGAGATTGATTAGTATATGTGTTTCATATTTAATTTAATATGAAGTGGTGCAAATAGAGTAGTAAATGTAGCATGATAGAGCATACTTTTAAGTAAAAATTATTCTGACATAGTATGCCTAAAGACTCATGATAATATACCAGCAACTTTAATTATTTAGAAAATTATCAAGAAATTTAACCTTTGCTGTCAAAATTAATACAACAATCAATGGCATATTGATCTGTTGGAAGCTACAGGTTAAGTAACATGGGATTACGGTAATGTATTTTTTGCCTATTCAATGCTTAAAGAACATCAAGGAATGAGTAATGAATAAATATATTGTTACTGTTTTTCTTTGAGAATTCTTTCTATTAAAGATATCACATAGCACTTTAGCTGAGTTATTAGGTAATTGTAATGAAAATATTGGGATCAAAAGGAAAGAGGAAGACTCTATCTAGTACTTGAGAATAGCAATGTAGAAATGTAAAGGAATGTAAGAAAGTTGTAATATGTAAAATTTAAGGAACAAGGTGTGCAAAAGGGAATTTTTTTCAAGTCAGATGGAATTCTTCAAGGAGGAGAAAAGGTTTGTTCTGGTGAGAGGTTAATATTGGAAATAAATTACTAAGCTGAAAAAGTGTAGCAGTTGTGTTGGTCAAACTTCCTGAGAAAAATGTAATTAAATGCAAATTGTATAATACAAATGTGCAATTGTATTTTTTTTTGTATACATCCTATACCTTTCCTAGTGTAATAAGATTGTCCCAGAATGCTCTCCAAGACAATTTTTGTATCTTAGGGGGGAAAATGGTCTTTAAGATGTAAGCTTATTAACTACAACGCGTGCTCTTTTTCTATTGAATTATTTTAAGACCTGTTCTATGAGTTGGAAAAAAAAATCCAGATGTTAAAATATACTTGCGGTGGTAAACTTAACAATAGTGCTGATATGAAGGTCAAGATCATGTTGGATTTTTTTTTCAAAATAAACAAAACACTTTCTAACATGAAGTGTTTGGCTTGCAGGTAAACAAAAACTTACCAAAACTAATTTGACTACTACATATAATGTAGGCTTGACCATGATCTTGGCTCACAGACTGCTTAATAATATTCATTATTTTAAATTAAAGTTGAAGAATTGCAGACTCTTGTTCAAATTAAGATTGGTTGTGTTGCCGGAATCTGGTAATTACTTTAATTGATCACCAGATAGTTTCCTTGATCACCAATTACACCCAATTACTGATTATGTTTCAAGACGTGAAGAAATGTCCAAACTGATTATGTAATAATGTTTTCATATATAATCAATCCTAAATAGCTATTTTCCCCATTCCCAATTGTATTTTATAAAAAAGGAAGGTTATAAGCCTACAGATACAAAAGGTGATCCATAAACAATAAAGTTCTGATTTCATTTAATTAGCAAGGGAAGTATTTAGAAGGCTTAATGGAGATTGCTCGGCCAAAATTACTTCAACAGACCTGCTTTTCATTTTCTTAGTAAAAATATATATGTAAGGGGGAGGCAGTTGTACAGGTTTAAAATGGACTATAAAGCTATGAGTCTCTTAGATGTACACATAAACCTGACTGCAGCAAGGTAAATTTTTGTACTGTTAGAAAAATAATTCTATAAGATCCATAAAATATTTTAAAATGTCATAGCACCCTTGAACAAGAATTCCTTCAAAAAACTGTTGTAGTTAATAAATTGAGTGACATTAATAGTTTTATTGAGACTTTAATGTGATTAATTTTTTTAGCTTGCATTCAATGATCTATAAAATTAAATTTCCAAACACAAGGATAATCAAACTCCTGATACTAAAAAAACAAACAAAATACTTCACTTGTTGGGCTACTACTGTTTAATCTTTGACTTGCTTATTCTGGTTTACAACAACAATTTCCAATCCTTTTTTTTTTTTTTTGAGGACCATAATATGATCTAGAATTAGCAACGTGGGTCTGTGGACAGCATGAAATGCATGATTCTTTCAGAGCAATATTGGGACCTAAACATAGGATTGAAAAAAATAAGTAGCTCAGAACTTTCAGGATCTTGCAGCTTTTTTGGCATTCTTACCCAAAATCTCATAAAATATCAGTTGAAACCCCCAAATCTAGGAAGATTTAATAATCCCATTATATTTTTGCTCTTTGTTATTTTTGGATGCCTATACTAGAGGTTAACTGGGTTGCCTTTGTTGATCACCAGTGGTTCCTGAACTAAATACCACCATTACAAAACAAAAACACTCAAAGCTTTCCTTTTGTATAACTCTAATTGGTAGTTGAAGCATTTTCTTCACCAGAATGGCTAGATACTCAAGGAAAGAGATTTCCATATTAAAGTAGTTTATTTATTTGTTTGTTTATTTATTTGATAGATAGGTAGGTAGCTAGATGATAGATAAAAATGATAGATAGATAAAAATTAAATAAATGGGGATCTATATTGTAATATCTATCCTCAGCAATATCAGGGGATATCTTTAAGGCAGAGGGATATTGATTAATCCTCCCTGGACAGGAACTCAATGAGTACATTGTCCTCAATCCAAAGAATATTGGGGGGGGGGGGGGGGGAGGACCTGACTTGTACTGTTGTTGGCAGTATCTTTCCAGTGTCTCAAGCAGATATAATTTTTTATCACTTTCTACCTAATCATTTTGCCCATAAATCCTTTTTAAGTTAAGCAAGATTTAGTGTTTGGACTATTGGCACCCTAGATTTGTTAGAACATTTTCAAGTCCAAGTTAAAGGAAAAGTCCCTCAAATCAAGAATGAGATTTGATGACTTAATGGACGCAGCCATGTAGCTGTAGTTTGTAGTTGCAATTTACTATTGTCAACTTTTGCATTGGTTGGTTGGTTGGGTTTTTCTCAACTATTACTACTGTGGATTTTTTGGGTGAACTTTGAAGTGAAGAAACAATACAATTGTGCCCTATCTATGAGAGCTAGTTTTCTTCCATCTCTTTGTAGAATAAAGGCAATGTAACTTCAAAATGCAGGGATTAACTTCATAAATAATCTCAGTGAGAAAGGGACAGCCAGTCTGATGCTTGCTTTGTTTACTTATTGTGTTCATTAGGAGTTTTTTTGCAACATAGAAGTTGATGTAGTTAATTATACTGAGAATTATACTGATTATTTTGATTTTATCTTTTTGGGGAATGTATTGTATTGTAGTACTATAACCTGGAAGTGAGATTACATACACATTCTAGTAAATAAATAATCACAATGGAAACATTAGTAAATTTCTTTTAAACAGTAATAAAGTAAAAGCTCTAAATCATGCCATTCATTAAATTGTAGAAAACACCTTAATTTATCACTATTAAAAACTAAAGCTCATAGTGTTTCAAAAATAGTTTCAGAACTTTTTAAGTTTCAAAGCTGCTTTTTACAGTGGTTTGACTTTGGAATTCAATTCAAAATCAAGTGAAACAATGGCTGCAATTCTGTGATTCACCTGAGAGCAAATAATTTCAATTGCCAACATTTTGATAATTTGTACATAAAAAACATTGTTGGAATAATTTGCTCTGATTGTAATGATTGCATTCATCTGACTGGAGAAGTGATTTGCAGTCATACTTCAGCAGAGGTAGAGGAAAAAATACTGAAACTATTATCAACTATTATACTACTTCTTGATTATATGTTTAGTCAAAATTGCTGTCAAAGGGTTGAACATGGTTTTTCCCCCGGCAAATTTTTATAACGAGACTTTAGTACATTTGATAGATAGGTGGACTTTGAAAGATCATACTTAATGTATCACAGATTTATTGCTGTTAAAATAATCTTTCAATTAGGTTTTTAGTCTTATTTTGAGAGCAGTTTGTTTGGTTTTAGCAAGAGAAAATCACTGTATAATATTAGATTCTTGATACTTTAAGCACTCATGTACTGTGTCGATATACTGTATGTAAACTGTAGAATTTATTTTGCATAAGATAAAGTGGGTGAAATAAAGCACATACAATTTTGCTTTGTTTGCTTTGGATCAAATCACACCTGTTCTTAACTCAGATAATTTTCTGTATCTATAGTGTGATACAAACATTTGGCAGCTTCATCAGACTTCTGTAACAATTTCTGAAATAATCTATGTGACATACTTTCTTGGTATTATTCTCCATTACTAGTAAAATTTAACCAGGATTTTGTTTGTTTCAGTACTGCATGTACAGTATCAGGCCTATACATGTTTGCTTTTTTTTTTACTGTTACATTTTGACACTTTTCCCTTCTGGCATATGCAGAATATAATAAAATGCTTTATTTTAAGAATAACACATGCATTTTTTTTTCTTTATGCAGGCATTTGGTTTTATGACTCGGGTAGCTCTTCAGGCTGAAAAGATGAATCATCATCCTGAATGGTTTAATGTGTACAATAAGGTAATGAACTAAGATTAATGAGCTAGTAGTTTATCTCTTTTCATTGGTGATTACCAGGCTCCAATTATATTTTGTAAATCCCCTCCCCCATGTAGATTAAAAATCAGATCATTGGTCAGTTTTATTCTTTTTGTTGGAATCTTTTTCAAATTATTTCACTTTCATTCCCCATATTTTTGCAATGATTGCTTGGTTTCATATTCACCTTCCCTCATATAGCTGAGGTTGGTTCATTGAAGTAATAGGAAAAATCCACAAACTCTTGTTTTACCAGCCTTGAAAGTATAATCTATATTTTAGGCAGTGGCAACTTCATTATTTCAATGCTTTTCTCATAGTGCAGAAAGAAACATAACACTGAAGCTCCACCCCTTTGGGGGCTTGTATGAAATTATGACACATGCAAGAAATGAGCAGGGCTTACATTGGGACATAACACTGCTTGTGTCACTCTGCCTCCCCCCTCTTCCTTATGTTCCCTGCAAATGTTGTTTATTCCAGTTGTGCCTAACTTTTGTGGACCATTCTTGACCTTTAAAATGTATACTGGGGCCTCACACAGAAAGTAGCGGACAGGGAGCAAAACAACAATTTTTGTTTTATTTAAAATCACATTAAATTAAATTAGTGTTAATATGATTATTCTCCAAAATGGTATTTAATTATTTCTCCTTCTGCCATATATATATTTTTAATTTGGTAGCACATTTTTGAGATCTTTAGGAACTGATATTACATATTTGTGATGCCTGTTCACACTTTGCAAACTACTGGGAGCAGCAGATTTTTGTTGGCTCTCCAGATTTATTGGCTTTTTTTTCTGTCCCCAGGAACAGACCCTTTTAAAAGTAAATAAAAATAATAGTATTAGATATTCTTGCTTTCTGATATTGCAAGTTAATTTTCCAAATTACAAAGCCAATAAATTTTTGAGAACTCTAGATTTCTTGGTGTAGTTTCAAATATATCTCCAGATTAAGTAATAAAATAAAATTTCTGAATGAGCATGTTAGTCTGTGAGGAACCAACTCAAAATTAAAATATTTTTAAGGATCTTGAAATGTTCATATCGCTAGATTCACAATTAGAATTTATCTGTGACTTTATCTTTAGGATAAATTCTTGCTTTTAAATCATTTAAAATGTGCAGATAGGAGTTTTGATAACTTATTTCTATTCTAACATTGTGTGTATATTTCTTGATATTCCTGATACAGTTTTAATTTCTGAGACTTAGACTAAATCTTTTTCTTCTTCCCCCAGTAGCTTGATGATACAAAGAAATTTAGCAAAGCAGAACATAGTGTTCTGCTAGAGCAGGGGTGTCCAACTTTGGCAACTTTAAGACTTGTGGACTTCAACTCCCAGAATTCCTCAGCCAGCTTTGCTGGAGTTGAAGTCCACAAGTCTTAAAGTTGCCAAGGTTGGACACCCCTGTGCTAGAGATATGTGAATAATCCCTTGGAAGAAACATCAGAGCTGGTCTGTAAAGTATTGCCAGGCTCTTCACCTTTATTTTAAACTGAACAGTTTTTCACTTGCAATTGGTTATAATCCACTTTTCTTGTGCAGTGAATATGTACAAGTACTTTTTAAAGAAAATATAATGTCAATTGGACAGCATCCACTGTTAAGCAAGGCAGCATTTGCATGATATATGGGATACTTTTGATCTTTTGAAACCCAAAGAAGTAAATTATGTCCGTGGTAGTATGAATTCTGCCACTTGTGAGTTTGATCTGTGGTCCTCCTGACTTCTTCGGGAGGGGGGGGCGCATGAGCAGCAAGCTCCAGGAGTTAATCAGTCTCTCTTTGGGCTTAGACATAATGCCTCTTGCCTTGAAAGAGGCAGTAGTCTTGTCTTGAAGAGGCCTTCCTAGGTCTGGCTAACTTTCATAATGTTCACCAAGTTTCTAACCTGTCGTTTCTTGTAAATTTGGTTTAGATTAGAAAGTCACTGCAAATCAGCTACAGAGAATCCTAAGTGACACAGATTTTCAGTCAGGATTCAGGACCAAAACAGTATTGGTCACCTGGCTCAGTGACTTTTGGGACCCTCAGTGGCATTCAGTGCCATCAACTCTGGTACCTTTTGGGACTGTCTGCACGGATTGGGAAACCGGAACAGTTTTATGCTAATTCTTCTAGAGAAGCTTTTTGCAATCATGTTTTGTTGTAGAACTGTGTCCAAGTTCTGTTTATATCTGACTGCTGAGATATATAAAAAAATGTTCAGCACCATTCCAATTTTTGAACAGCAGACAGGTGCTTTTTAAACTAAATTTATTCTTCTTGTACCATATCTGTCATCAGACGTTGGCAGTCGTGTTGCCGATCCTATTTTTATCAACAACCACATGAAAAAGCACTGTTGAGTTTTGTCCAAACCAGTCCGTTAGATTTTGACGCCATGATCTTCTTCTTCTGCCTGAACCTCGTTTGCCTTTTATCTTTGCTTGGAGGATTAAGTGAAGTATGCTGTATTTGCATCACATGTCCAAAATATTCTAACTTTCGGTTTTTTATGGTTTTGATGATTTCCCTTGGTTTTCCCAGGTGGCTTATCACCTCCTCATTTCTGATTTTGTCAACCCAACTTATACGTAACAGCCTGTAAATCCACATTTCAAATGCTTCTAGTCTCTTCAAGTGTCTTTCTCTCAGAGACCAACTCTCCACTCCGTAGAGCAGGACAGAAAAGATGTAGCATCTGACAAGCCTAAATATACAATAAAAACTAAATATACAAATTAAGACGTATTTGAGATTTTCATACTAAATCTAGTCTGCAAGGAAATAGATTATGAATGATTAGGTTCTTTTTAAAAATGTATTTGATTGCAATTTTTTGTACGTTATGAACTTTTTATCTTTCTTCTTTCTTGTTCAAAGGTCCAGATAACACTCATTTCCCATGACTGTGGTGGCCTGACAAAGCGAGATGTCAAGCTGGCTCAATTTATTGACAAAGCTGCTGCGTCTTGTCTAACAACTGGGTGCTAAAATAATCATACAAAATGTCTATAATTTGTTTATTTAGTCTTCTCTCTTAAAAATAGTTAATCCTCAAATTTCTCCATTCCTGCAGAAGCTTTTGCATAGATACATAAAGTTTTTATCAAATAGATAAAATACTAAAATTGTTGCATTAAAAAGTTGACTTTGTTTAGTCTGTGTATCAGTGACAAGTGACGATTTGGGCAGGAATTCCTCCAAAGAAGAATGATTTGAGCTTATTAGTAGGTCAGGTTTGCATCTTATGTACCCTGTGCTGTATTTTATCTTTTAGATTCTATACAAACTCAATTTCATTGAGGACTGCCAGGGTTGTGTTTGACCTCAGGGTGTGTGACCAGGGGGCGTGGCGAGCTCGATATCACTTATGTCGAAGTCACCTGTAGTGGCCCAGGCGCTCGCTCTGCCAGTGTAAATTGGCTCCTGAGCTCCATTTCTGGCTGCAACAGATTCCTGCATCCCTCTGCCAGCGAAAATGGAGCTCGAGAGGGCTGCACGTGGCCCTCCCGAGCTCCATTTACACTGGCAGAAGCATCGCAGACTGGTCCTTCATTGTTTCCAGGGCAGCCCCAGAGGCCAGATCTAAGCACCCTAAGCCTGCGGACCTTGAGTTTGACACGTCTGCTATAGACAATGACAATGGAACAGTTCAACATGAACATCTGATTTTTTATTAAGTAATGAATGTGAGGGGTCCAGTGACCCTATATTAATATGTATAATTGCAAGGAATATAGCTGAGAGAAAATCTCCCTTGCTGTAGTTATATAGATGCACTTTCCACTTGTTTAAACTTTCAGGTATTCTCTGGGATAAAATGACCACAACTGATTGTGTGAGAAAAATCATGTAATGTTCTTGGAAATCTTGGTCAACATAAATAACAGTAATCACAATGAATGTAAAAAAAATCCCTGGTGATACTTTATATTGAGCTAAGTGTATTTGTCCGATTGATTCCATATGCTTTCAACTGTTAAGCTAGATTCAATGGGGATTCCCACTCTCCTGTTTCCTGAGGCACAGATCTGGCTCTTTCTGGACAAACAAGAGTCTTCGTGTAGCATATTGTAGTAAAAAGCCAGACTCTCTCCAAATTTGTTCCCTTTCTTGGCCATTGATCATACTGATTGGAGGACTTTGTTCCAAACATAACTCTCCCATAAAATATTCTGAAAAGGCTAGGTCATGAATCTAGGATGGACAGGATCTGAGGCTCAACAAACTTAGGATGGCACAATACCTGTAAGTTAGCACAAAATATAATATATAAAAAAATCACAAATTCCTTGAAAGAGCACACTAGCATATCTTGTTCTCAAGTCTGCCTATCACTTTTGCTTTACCCTAGAGATAGATTCAACCACTTTCTCCAGCAAGCTGTATCTGACTAGTCCCTATGTCTCAAAAAGATTGCAATTTTGAATAAAAGTTTTAGCAGCATTGACTCCCTAGAGATATCCGGACAGTTGTTTGGCACTTTTTTTTACCCCCAGCCCAGAAATATATAACAGCTCTTAGCACTGGTCTCAGATTTCTTAGGGCTGAGCTGAGAACCTGTTGGACAAGCCAGGGCAAGTTTCTTTGTACCCCTTGAGATTTGGATTTTGCAGTCAATATGAATTCTTCCGCCTGTCTGTGAGGCATCTGGGATATGTATATTGATTTGTTTCAAGCTTCCCTGCCTGGTTTGTGTGAGCCTAGATTGGGAAAGTCTGGGTGAATGTGATGGAGAAAAGGGCCTGCCATGAGTGAATGGTTGAACGAATAAATGACAGTTTGTCCATTTACTATACCAGGGGTGTCAAACTCAATTTCATTGGGGGCCGCATCAGAGTTGTGTTTGACCTTGGGAGGCCGGGCTGGGCGTGGCCAGGTTGGGCATGGCCAGCTCAACATCACTTGTGTCAGGGGCACCGTTTGTGGCCCGAGTGCTCTGCCAGCAAATATAGGCTCCTGAGTTCCATTTTCGGCCGTGACAGCCTCCTGCAGCCCTCTGCCAGCGAAAACTGACTCAGGAGGGCCGCACACAGCCCTGCTGAGCTCTGTTTTCACTGGCAGAGGCACCATGGGCCAGTCCTTCACTGTTTCCAGGGTGGCCCTATGGGCCAAATCTAAGCACCCCACTGGCCGGATCTGGCCCCTGGACCTTGAGTTTGACACCCCTGCATTATATTATGCTGACTATGCCATATTAGGGCAACCTAGTATATTCATGAGATCAAAGTGAGTAACAAAATAGCTTGTAAGTATTGATTTCTCTTTGTAAAGTAAGAAGGTTTGCAGAAGAAAAACATAGTTGAGTTTTGATATGTTGCTATTTAATTAAGATTTAATAAGTTCTCAGGCAAAATACACAGGTTCCTTGTTAGATATAAAGACTGACCAGTTTTGTGCATTTTTCTTTTCTGTTGACAAAATTAAGTATATTTTTGGTAGCAAGTCAAAAACGGAAATCAAACTGGATAATTTCAGTTAGAATCTGAAGAGGATACAGCCTTAAAAGTTAAGTCAAAGCTCCTGATGCTATAGAATCTTCATCCAGAGATGGGCCCCATGGTTATTGACTGAATTTGTTCATGTAATTTAAATGCCTACCTTGTTTAATTTGCTATATTTTAATTTGAATAAACAATTCATATTACTCATTCTAAACTCTTGTCTCTGGTTTCTGATTCTGCTAATTCCATATGGTGCCTATTTTCCATAATGATAAAAGTCTGTGAAAGTATTTTGATTGACATTTCTAAGTGGCCCCAATACCAATGACACATGGTCCATGTTTTAATGGGTGCTATAAGATTGTTCATTGTTTTATCTGAAAGACTGATTTTGGTGATAACTCGTATACTTCTGCACATGCATGCTCCCCTAGACATAAAACCTACTGTAGTCAGAACATGGATAAGTTAAAGGTGTACTGGAGAATAATTCAACATGCAACCTTCTTTATGAATTTTGATGTATTCAACATAAAGGCTTTGAAAATAGATTTTAGCTAAGCGTCCTTCAATAACCGAGAAGTCCGTTTCTATCCAAAAATCCTTATCAGAACAATGCACTGAATCTGCAAAAGACAGAAACTATCCTTGCAGGAATGGATGAGTAAATTAAATACTGGTGCTTGCATACATGCTCCCCTCTCCACTTTTATCCCTTCAAGTGTCCAAGTCAAGTTCTGAATAAAAGCTTTAGATTTATTCCTTTGAAAAGGTGTGTGTTAATATTGCACTCTTTAAGAAAGCAAGTACTTCCAATAATTTGTTTAAAGCACTTGTCAAAGATATTTGTGTGGATTTTAAAGCCTCTCAGAATTTCATTTCACATGTGGAAAAATCATGTCAATATTGAAGTTTAAAATGGAAATAAACTTTCTGTAATTTCTTAATACTTTTGATTCAAATGACAAAAGGATTTTTTTTAAAGGTAGTAATGGAAGGATGACTTCCAAGGCACATTATTTGGTGGCTTTTCTGAATTAATAAAGAAATTGAACCCAACATTTAGGTGAGAAGTATGGAAGTCTTTTTTGAAGCTACAGAAAGGGATTGATTGCAGTTAATGCCTCAAAAGACAATGTTGCGAAATATTATGTTAGAAGTACCAATAATTATGGCCGGATTTGAACACTCCTGGTCTAATTGTATGTTTTGATAACTTCCTAAGTCAATGTTTCTCAACTCCCAGAATCCCCATATTTATGACAGTTGCAGCAATCCGGGGTCATGTGATTGCCATTTGCAACCTTCCCAGCTGGCTTCTGACAAGCAGTCAGTGGGAGAAGCAGAATTTGTTTAACGACCACATGATTCACTTAACAATTGCCACAATTTGCTTAATAACTGACAAAAAGGTGATAAAATTGGATGTGGCTCACTTAACTGCCTTGCTTAGCGATGGAAATTCTGGTCTCAATTGTAGTGATAAGTCAATGGTTACCTATAATTTGCTTTACATGAAGCTGATTTTAAGGACTACTTGCAAACTTTAGTTAGGACAAAGTGTAGTGCGCCTTGTACTTATTGCAGTGTCATGATTAGTATATTACACTGATGCTGTGAAAGCTATAATGGCTACAGTGGGTTGCTCAGCTTTTTCCACTCCTCTGTTAACTCTGTCAGACTTATTTTTGTTTTCCTCCTCTTCCTGGATAGGAGGAGGAAGAGGGAAACCTTTTCTGAGCCTTCTGTAAAGCCAGCACCTTGGTTGCATTTTTCCATTGTTCCTTCTGTTTTTTTCCAATGCGGGTCTAGTTTTTTTCACAAGCCAATCCACATTACAGATTTTCATTTCTGATCCTACTTGCTTTCACTGGGTTCTCATTAAACACATTTCTCCTTCCTCTGAGGATCCTCTAGATGTTCAATTTCCCTTGATAAAAGCTTAATACTTCCAATCAAGACATAAACACACATCACAAACAGACGTATGTTTTATCTGACAAATCTGCCCTTTTAACATTTTGTATTAGAAGGCAGACATGCCTGCTTACGATTGCCTTAAATTAAGCCAAGAAGCTTTTTAGATGCCTCTGTTGCACTTTTCATGCAACTGGTAGCTAGACAAAAGCGTAACCTCAAGAAGGTTATAACCTAGTTACATCTTAGTCATGGCACCTCAGTCTACCAACGTCTTGAACAATTTACTACCTTCAAAGTATTAACTGCAAATTCTAAAAAGCAGGCAGATTGTTTTTGTGCAAACGATTGTACTCATTTTCCTCCATACTCCATCCATAGCTGAATCATTTCTTCTACAGTATCCATACTAGAAATAAAAAATTACACCACTATCAAAATGATGGGAACATTTCATGTGCTTTCCTCTAAGCTGTCAAAAACCCAAGCAGTAGATTTTAGATTTTACATACGCTATTCCAAAATTGTGAGGTCACAAAGTAAGTGAGGTCATATTGGCACTTTCATTCTTCTCCAGGTAGACTTTCTCTGAATGTGCAGTGGTGGTTGTGAAAAGATAAGCACAGTTCATATTCTGGGAATCATGGCTATAGATTCTGCAGAAATACTTGAAAAAGCTCGACTGATTGAGAAGCTCTCATTTGAGGCATTTAAGTCTGGATCTGAAACTGAAGAGGCACGCTATGCGTTTGGATACCGGTAAGGTTTCAGCCAGGATTTTTAAAGTTTTATATCCATCTAGAAACTGTTTCCTGAAATTTTGAATTATATATTACTCAAAACTATTTCAATAATTTATGATAATTTTGAATGTCATGTTCTTGATGGAATGATGGATTTTGTAGTATACATAAAAAGGCGTTCCTTTAATTTGATGGAATCCATTTTTCTTTCAAAATTCCTTTTAGAAGAGATTTTTAATGACTTTTGGAGTAATTTTTACAGGTCAAGAATGAAACATTTGTTCTTAGTTATGTATGCAAATACTCCATTATGCTGTAGAATCCTTTCTCCAACAGCTTCCAGCCTTCCTGGATTTTCATACTTTATTTAACTCTCTAGGTAAGACATGATGTTGATCTTCCCCAATTGGGCTTTTTCTAACAGTAGGTAGCCAGAGGGGCTTCAGAGTGATGGGAAAGCACATAATGGAAAAGGGCAGCAATGGGCAGGAGGAGACTTATCCACAGTTCTAAAAAAAAGTTCAGAAGCACCAATAAAAAAAAAAAATGGAAATAAATTCTCATCTACATTAAGACCAGGGTAAAAAGCTGCTTTTTCAGAAGGAGGAAAACTTTAAAGAAAGTTAAACAACAAGTAATGGATGGAAACTAACTGAGAGATCCAATCTTGAAATAAGGAGAAATTTCCTGACAAAACATTCTGTGGAACTAGAGGTGGCATTCAGCGGGTTCTGACCAGTTCTGGAGAACAGGTAGTGGAAATTTTGAATAGTTTGGAGAACTGGCAAATACCACCTCTGACTGGTCCTGCCCCCATCTATTCTCTGCCTTCTGAGTCCCAGCTGATGGACTGGGTCTTCTTTTGTTGCCCTGCACAGGAGAACGGAGCTGGAAAGCAGGTTAGTGGGGTGGGGAGGGAATGGGGATTTTGCACTAACCTCCCCGCAGGAGTGGGGACGGAATGGGGATTTTGCATTATCCTTCCCCTGCCATGTCCACCAAGACATGCCTACCAAGCCACACCCATAGAACCGGTAGTAAAAAATTTTGAATCCCACCACTGATGTAGAACAGCTTGCCTTCAGAAGTTGTGGGTGCTCCATGACTGGAAGTTTTTAAGAACAATTTTTTCTGGAATGGTATAGGGCAGAGGTCTCCAAACTTCCCAGAGGAATTCTGGGAGTTGAAGTCCAAAAGTCTTTAAAGTTGCCAAGTTTGAAGACCCCTGGTATAGGGTCCTGCTTAAGCAGCTCCAAGGTGCCTTCCAACTCTATTACAGGTGGTCATAAGTTACTTTTTTCAGTACTATTGTAACTTTGAACGGTTCGCTTAGTGACCATTCAAGTTACAATAGTACTGAAAAAGTAACATGACCACTTTTCACACTTAAGACCATTTCAGCATCCCCATGGTCACATGATTTACATTCAGATGCTTGACAATTGACTCACATGACAGTCACAGTGTCCCACGCTCATGATTCCCTTTTGCGACCTTCTGACAAGCAAAGTCAGTGGGGAAGCCAGATTCACTTAACAACCGTGTTTCTAATTTAACAACTGCAGTGATTCACTTAACAAATGTGGCAAGAAAAGTCGTAGAATGGGGCAAAACTCACTTAACAAATTTCTTACTTAGCAACATGAATTTTGGACTACTTGTATTCTGTATTCTGGTTAAAAGAGTCTGACAGTGAAGAAAATCAAATCATGGTTCACTTATGAAGGAACTTGAAACTAGAGTTTGAAGTAGGTTTCAGTTTTTTAGAAAGGGAGAGCCACAATTAAAGATGTATGACAGTAATGGTAACATGAATGCTGGGAGAAGGGACTAAAGCATGACATACTCAGAGACTCTTAAACACCAAATTATATACAACCATAGTCTAATACTTTTACCTTTTTTAAAAATAAAAATTAACATAGAGGCTAGGGCAGGGGCGTCAAACTTACTGGCCACGCCCATACCTGGTTCACCAATATGTCACATGACGCCGCTGTGACACCGTGAGTTTGACACCCCTGGGCTATGGGTTAGGGTGCTTTATCCTTTCACTCCTCTGTTATAAACCATCTCTTGGCTCTTTTTTAACCATTCAAAATGGTCAAATCACTTTAGTTGCTACTTCCTTTGAAATTCCCTTCCTCTACAATGGCTTTTCTTTTGGAAGAAAGATAAAAGTGTTCTCCTAGGCGGTCACGGCAAACAGTAAAACTTCCTGTTACAGGGAAACCGGAAGGTGTAATGCTCTTGTATTCCCACAACACCAGGAGGCTTCAAAGCCAAGGTGATTATTAGCCTTGTTCCAATTCCAGAGGAGATGAATCCAAGAAAAAATTTATTTATTTATTTAGTCAAAAGCTTACAATACAACAGAAATAAGAATAAACGTAAGTTTAAATATAAGAAATAGGAACTAATAATTGGGGACAATAGGGCAGGATTTGTATTTGTAGCAAGTCCTCTGAAAGAGTGGAGCGGGTAGTTTTCCGTTGGAATTTCATCAACCCCACTGCATGTAGTCCAGACGCTGTTGGTACCTGTGACCTCCAGGGACACAGAGGTGTAGCTTTGCTTTTGCCACTGCATAGTAACCAGCCTTTTTTTATTAGTGGGGGGAAAAAACAAATTTGGTTAGAGCTGAACAGAGGTGAGGTATTCCCTTCCCCCTCTACCTATCAACCTTTCCGTGAGCCAGCTGACCAGCCCTATGGAAAGATGGGCTGCAACTATAGGGACCCTTCTGCAATTATCCAAAGCTGCTTCTGGGCATTTAAGGGGTGAGACTGGTGGCTGTGTAGAATTGCCTCTAAAAGCATTTGGCCCTTCCCAGGAAAGGAAATGTTAAGTCTTACTCTCCCGTTGACTTGACATCTGAATTCTTTTCTTGCTATTTCATCACAATTGAAGGGTAATCCAATGAGTCTATACTTGCAGTTAGTTGTTTCAACTATCTGACTGCTTCTATCTAATCCAAAGCCTTTCATATATAACCACACCTTCTGCATGATATGAATTTGTTTGAACAAGCAGTAGCTTAAGAAAACAGGATTTTTCAGGTTGCAGATTCAATTCTGTCCTTTTTTTTTGTCTTTTCCTTTCCAGGAGGAGAGATCCTGACCTGTATAAGTTTGTGGAAAATGTATTCTATCATCCTCTATTCAAGTCTGTTATGATCAGCAGCATTATGCTCAATGCAATATTCTTGTCTTTAGAAACGGATTATAAAGTTCGTTATGAGTCACATTTGTTCCTGCAGGTAATGAAAACGGCTGACTGAGGTGGCCACAATTCCTTGTTCTGAAGGCATTTTTTTTTTAGAAGAAAAGACAAGATGAGGAGAAATCATGTTTTTAAAGAGATTTCAACCAACTCATTGAGCCAAAGGCTATCAGTTTGTGATAGCTACCTTTTATCCCTAGCAAAGCAATTATGACTGAACCGGTAGTCCTTGACTTAACAACCTTTCATTTACAACAGCACTGAAAAAAATGACTCATGACCCTTTTTTCACATTTATGATTGTTGCATCATCCCCGTGGTCATGTAATCAAAATTTGGGTGCTTGGCAACTGGCATGTAGTTATGACGATTGCAGTCTCCCAGGGTCATTTGATCACCATTTGTAACCTTCCCATCCAGCTCCGACAATCAAAGTCAATGGGGGAAGCAAATTCATTTAATAATTGCAAGATTTACTTAACAACTGAGGCAAAAATAGTTGTAAAATGGGGTAAAATTTACTCAACAATTGCCTTGCTTAGCAATAGAAATTTTGGGTTCAGACATAGGTCGAGGACTACCTGTAAACTTGGTCATAATGGAACATAATAGAGGGCTTAAGCCCAGGGGTTGCTTGGAAGCTTATAAGGAACTTCCGGTTAGCTATCAAGTTAGGCTTACTAACTAGAAGTTAGCCACTTCTAATTAACTAATTTAGGTGAGATTTTGGTTAGACCCAGCAAGGTTTCCATGCTTTTGTGTTCAAACTTTAAAGAACAACTAGTGAAAACAATGAGATTCGATTGATAAAACATGCAGCATTTGTGTCTTTCATAATATCATCTACAACTCAAGGGCAAGTCCTCTTTAAGCAATGCTGCCCCATAAAGAGATGCATAGTGATTGAGGCACAGTCAATTTTGCTGAATGCTTTCCCTGGATTGGGGTACAGCTGTAGAAGACAGTGTTGCAATTCTGGGAAAAGATACAGCTGCTTTAAGAAGATGTTGATAAGGATTGTTAGAGCTCTCTTGCTTGCCATGGAACACATTTTTTTTCTTTGGATTGTACTATTTATGCTAATTTCTAAAGTAGGCCTAGGGCAGGAGTTTCAAACTCATCTCATCATGGCAGCGTCACGTGATGTATTGGGACTTTTTTCCCCTTCACTAAACTGGGTATGGTTGTGGCCAACGCGTGATGCATGCCGGGAGTTTGACAGCCCTGCCCAATAACAGGAAGACCTCCAGCAAAAGCAGTATTATTAGTAGCAAATATGTAAAGCAGGGGTGTTCAACCTTGGCAACTTTAAGACTTGTGGACTTCAGCTCCCAGAATTGGAATTCTGGGAGTTGAAGTCCATAAGTCTTAAAATTGCCAAGGAGTTGAAGTCCACAAGATTGGACACCGCTGATGTAAAGCCATTGTTGTCCTCTCCTGCATAGAAGAGCGAGGTTCAAATGTAAGCAAAGATTCAACCTGGTGGGACATCAGGCTAAAATCTGATAACCCATAAATCAATTTGGTCTACATCTAATCACAGTGGTAACCAGCACTGGGTCTGTGGCTTGATAAATGAGGACATTGAGATTTCTTTGTTCAGGCCATGCCCACCCATAGCTATTACCGTGTTTCTCATATAATAAGGCCGGGTCTTATTTTTTTTTTGAGCCCCGAAAAAATGGCTAGGCCGTCTTTTTGGGGGTGACTTAATTCTTCCCCCCTTGCATCTTCAGGCGGGTGGGCGGCGACAGCTTGGATGTTGACCTCGGCGTTGGTGGGGCACTTCGTATCGGGGTCAACGCAGGCAGCACCATATCCGGGTGTGCAACAAAAGTACTTCCTAACGGCAAGCCCC